TTTGTTGGGATGTGTAGGATCAGAGGATTTAGGACGTCGAGCTTCTATGTTTTGAGCTGCTTGGTTTATTGGGTTAATAGAAGCTGAGTCTACGGAGACCCGAGAAGTTGTTGCATTCAGGACTGGAGGTTTTGCGGGGGTTGGGTCTTCATTCGCCCATTGGGTTGACAAGCCTTCCATGGTTTAAAAGTTAGCTACAGTTAGTTTTCATGGCTTTTATAAAGGTTGACAGACTGGAGGTTGCTGGGTTTAGGGCTGTACAGCCCTTTACGGGTCTCGGCGATCTATATTAATATCCATACCTATGCCCATGCATATACGCAGTCTTCTGTATCTTCTAGTATCTCAGCTGCCCAGCCGAAACCTGAGCTGTGGACATCTGGACCCTGATCCTTAGAACTCTCTTCCCAACAGTCCCTTTAGGGTTTAGGAGTTTAGGGTTTAGGAGTGTAGGCTTTAGGATTTAGGGGTTTAGGGGTTTAGGGGTTTAGGGTTTGGGGTTTAGGGATCTTCAGCCCAGCCCGGAGGCTTGAGGCCTGAAGCAGTCGGGTGTAAAGTGACCGACAGAACCCACGCAAGTTCCTTAAGTCACTACGCCTTGAACTCTCAGCCACAAAAGCCTGAACCCTAAACCCTAAACCCTACACCCTACACCCTAAACCCTAAACCCCAAGACTCTGACGCCATCTGACGCCTCTCAAGACCTTCGGGCGCAGAAAAGGAGCTCAATAAAAAAGACCCCGAGACTTTTGCCCAACCGAACCGAGGTCGTGGGGGAGTCGAAACAGGACGCCTCCTCCTGCTGCAGCTGTGGACGGGGGCGCCTGGGCATCAAAACCCCACTCTGCCCAGACTTGCACTCTGAGGGCTGGGGCTTTTCGTCGTTGAAGATGCAAGCCTTAAGCCCCAGAAGCCTCAGGCTGTTGGTGGCCGTGGCTGCGCTCCTCGCTCTGGGAGCATTTCTGCTACCTGGCAAGCTTTGGGGTTTCCAACGAGGGGGTCAGGTTGGTGGGTTTGGTTGACTACAAGAGCGCCAGGTGTTTCTCTTGGTGCGGGGCCCTAAGCCCTAAACTGCGCTAAACCTATATCTCAGCATATTTACTTGGGCACAAGCACTCGAGCAGTCCTGGCCCTTCATCCAAAAACCCTTAAACTGCAGAGCCGTAGTCCTAGACCATAGCATAAAGCTGCAAGCTGCCGCGCTGCCAGATCTTCTATTTGTTGGGCCAGTTTAAGGTTTTAGGTTTTACCCCTTGAGGTTGTGTGTGCCATAAAGTGGATGTGGTCATCGGTAGAGCTCCATGCACTTGCTATGCCCCCGTGAGCACTTCTGCGAAAGCCTACTGCTCTAAACCGGCCCAGCGTGCCAACAATTGAGCAGCTCCCTTGGCATTTGAGTAGATGTCCTTTTGTTGATCTGAAGGGGCAACTCCGGGATTGTAGCACATCGGGCTTCTGGGACTTTATCAAAGCCCTTGCACAGAAGCCTTGGAACTCTAATGTCATGACACTTCAAAGTCCGAATTGGGGAGGCTCCGAATCCACGAGTACATCCTCTACGCTGAATCACTAAACCCTAAGCCCCAGACCTAAACCCTAAACCCTACATCCTAAACCCTTAGGCCGAAGCCCTAGACTCTACATCCTAAAATCTAAACCCTAGACCCTAAACCCTAACCCCTACCCCTAAACCCTAAACCCTAAACCCTAAACCCTAAACCCTAAACCCTAAACCCTAAACCCTACATCCTAAACCCTAAACCCTAAACCCTAAACCCTACATCCTCAACCCTGANNCCCTAACCCCTACCCCTAAACCCTAAACCCTAAACCCTAAACCCTAAACCCTAAACCCTAAACCCTAAACCCTACATCCTAAACCCTAAACCCTAAACCCTAAACCCTACATCCTCAACCCTGAGCCCTATGATCTCCAAAGATCCCTAGGCCTCAAAGCCGTCTGTGTCTTTCTGTGGACATTTTTCCGAACTTCCGTCTACAGCTGCTTTATCTTTATTTTTATTGCTATTACTATTCTTAATTATTATTTTTGGTTGGTATTGTTATTTTTTCTTAGTAATAATGGTAATTATGATCTTATTATTACTGTTATTGTGGTTTAAGGTTTGAGGTTTAGGGGGTTTGGTGTTTAGGGCCTAGGGTTGGGAGGTCTTCTTCTTGCACGGTTCCAGGTGCAGAGACTTCGGGTTTTAGACTTCGGCTGAAAGGGACACCGTTCCGGTAACTGACATACACCCTAAATCCTAAACCCCAAGCTCCACACCCTAAATCCCTAAACCCTAAGCTCCAAACCCTAAATCCCTAAACCCTAAGCTCCAAACCCTAAGCTGCTCATGTCGGGCCTTGCTCTTGTACCTAGAGAACCCAATACCCCTTAAGTAAGGAATAGACTTTAAATCATAATATTCAGGCCCCTATAAGTTACTGTCTGGTGCTTAGTAGGGAGTGAGGGAATGGATCCCTATGATAGTCCCTTAAGGTCCCTTATAGTAGTCCCTATATCCCATTCACCCATTCCCTACTAAGCACCAGACAGTTTAAGGTATATTGCTTATTTAAGGGGTATTGGGTTCTCTGGGTTTCCCTCCGACCCGAACTTCCAAAGTCTGCCGCGCAGCCAGAAGCCTGGAGATCACAAGCTCGACGTTTCCACGAACTCAGCCTTCAACCCTGATCCCTAAGCACCATAGGGTTTAGGATTTTTAGGGTTTGGGATTTTTACGGTTTAGGGTTTATAGCGTTTAGGCTTTAGGGCCCTAATCCCTGAAAGCTTAGCCCTAAACACCATAGGGTTTAGGGTTTAAGGTTTCGGGTTTAGGGTTCAGGAACTCCGAAACATGATCCCTAAACACTACCGCCTCAGCAGACCCTACCTACCGAGCCCTAAAGATGCAAGAGCAGCCTTGCAAGCCCGTACGAATGCCTGAAGAACGCGCAAAACGGGCGACAGAATCCTGTACCGCCTGGTAGAGCGGTTTAGGGGTTTAGGATCCAAATTAGGGTTTACGGTTTAGGGTTTAGGTTTTAGGGTCCAAATTAGGGTTCAGGGTTTAGGGTTTAGGGCCCTGCAGATCTTTTTTTGGAGAAACGGCGAAAATCCGATAGAAGCTTCTAGCCGGAAGTCTGAAATCCAAGGTTCCGGCAGCCTATCCGATGTGATCAGATCTCCGCCACATTCTCTTCTGCGTTGGCCCCGCATTCCGGCGTTATTAGGATTCAGCGTACAAGGTTTTTTTTTTTTTTTCCGGAGGGGGGGGGGTGCATGGAAGTTGATTTAAACCCTAAACCCTCAACCCTCAACCGTTAATTGGCTCCGAGGGGTTTATCGGATGAGGGGTTGAGAACTCTGGAGTTTGGATTCTGGCCCACGGCACTCATCAGTAAGTAGGCCATAGGGGTGTTAATATAGGGGGCCTTAGTATCTAGAATAGGGTTTGGGGTATTTTAAACCATTATTAGGATAAAGAGCCCCCAGAAGCCCAGTTCTACTTACTATGGGCCCACATCATGCATCTAAGACAAACAAGCAATATTGTGTACCAGAGTGCCCTGGAGCAGACTTCGTTTATCCTTGCGTTGAACCGTTTTGAGCCTGCTTGTGGACCGTCCGGGTTTAGGCCGGCAAGTCTCGGTGCAGGGGTTTAGGGGTTAGGGTTTAGGGTTTAGGGTTTAGGGTTTAGGTAGTCCTCAAACCCTGAACCTGTAACCGTAAAGGTTACGGGGATAAGCTATGGGAGTGCTATGGGTCCAAGTTTTGCTGTGCTGAAGGGTTGGAGTTGTCCTGGCGTGCAACCTGCTTACTATTTTAGCCTTTTTCCTTAACCTGTCAAACCCACTTTTTTTTGTAGATTCCTACCTTATGTCAGATTTATGGGGATCCTACAGAAAAGTGAGTTCTGGGGGGGTTAGGGTAGCCTTTAATTGGTCATGCCAGGATCCTGGAGCCCTGTTGCCTCTCTTGGGTTTTGGGTTTGAGGTTTTAGGGTTTAAGCCTTTTCTTCGATTTAGGGTTGTCGGGCTCATAGGACTTTGGGCTTAGGAGGTTACTGTTTCGATTAATGGTTTTTCGGCTTTCGGAATGAGGGTGTAGGGCTTTAGGGCCGGGTGAAAGAAACGGGCAGCCCAGGGCTATCGGTCAAGCCGCGCCAGCGCTGACGGTCGAGGCTCGAACATCTAAATCCCCGGTTGAAAGGGGCTTGAAACTACTACAAGGGCTCAAATAATTACCTATACTATTTTGGGGGTTCCTCATGATAATAAATATAGCATAATGGGCCCCAAAACCCTATTCTAATTATTAGTTAAGGCCCCTATAGATATACATTGGCATCCTGTGGGCTTTACAGTTCCAGGGCCTTTAGGGTTTTTCCTTTCCCGTTGAGGTGTGGGAGATGTCTCTGTCTGGAGCTTTCACATGCCTTCAAGCACAATAAGAATAAGCATTCTGCAGATGTCCCCCCCAGCGGGGGTTAGAGCAGCAGCATGCCATGGTCCGGGGCTCATCTGATATCCCTGTAGCCTGGTACCAGTCTGGATTGTTCAGTAACCGCTTGAGTTCATCTCAAGACCATGCACCCCAAAAGTACGGCCTGAAACATATGCCTTCGGTTCCTTAGCATGAGGTGCGCCCTGAACCCTAAACCCTACACCCTCAAAAGGCGGCACGCATACCAAAAGGCTTGCATTTCTTCTGCCGAGCACCTCAGCAGTCGAGCTCTGTCTTCATTTTTTTTATGTGGGGGGGGGGGTTAGGATTTAGGGCTTAGGGCTCAGAACTTAGGGTTAGGGCTGAGGGTTTAGGGAGATGTCCAAACTAAGTCCGTCACTGCCCAGATCTAAAAAGCCCCTTCTCATCTCAATTGAAACCCTCAACCTAAACCCCTGAACCCTAAACCCTAAATCCTAAACCCCTGAACCCTAAACCCTAAATCCTAAACCCCTGAACCCTAAACCCTAAATCCTAAACCCTAGCCGCCGAGGCGGAGGTAGCACCCACTGCACCGCCCTTGGTGCTGCAGCAGTTCCCAGCCGCGCAAGCCGCCCCGCAGCCGCAGCCCGTGTCGCGGCCCACGATGCCGCTGGAGGCGGGCGGGAGGGCGATTTGTGGGGCTTTAGGGCTTTCGTGTGTCTTCCCTTGCTGGGGTGTGTTCAAAAATATCCTGCAATTATTACAGAAGTTGATGCTGAGTAGGGTTTTGAGAAATCACAGGGTCAGATGTGTGAGGGCGCTGCTTTCGGAGTTGCACGTTCTAAGGGTTCCAGTTCTTACGTGCTGGGAGAGCATGTGTGATTGCGTAGAACGCATGTAGCAGGCTGGAATGCACGTTACGTATAGGTGGTTGGGGCAGCTGAAGTTGGGGATCAGCTACGTGTTTGTTTTTTTTGCTGAGGTAAGTTCCGGACTAGACTGACAGTCCGAGTTTGAGGTGGATTCCGGTTGCATCGACCACAAAGAAGTAGTTTGGGTTTGGGGCAAATGAAGGCAGAGTCGAATCAGCTAGGCCTATAAGCCCTAACCCCTAAACTTTAAACCCTAAGCCCTAAACCCCAAACCCCTAAACCCTAAACCCCAAAACCCAAAACCCTAACCCCTAAACCCTAAACCCCTAACCCCTAAACTCCACAACCATTAGTTAGGGTTGCGTTCCTTTCTGGTCTCAGGCGCCTCCGGCTTTCGTGATGCGCGGCAAAGATCCGTGCGTGCCCGTGGGGGGAGCGAAGGCCTCGCGTTGGGCCATCGTTGTAGAATTTTTGAGGGGTTTAGGGTATACAAGGCAATACAGGGGTTTAGAGTTTAGGGTTATTAAGGGTTCTTCTTCAGGTTCAATCAAGACCACCGTTTCATGAACCCCTTCCCCTCGTTCACAAACGGTTTTAATAGCGGTCCCAATAGCTCATGAGGTTGAAGGGTTTCGGTTTAGGAGTTAAAGGCTTTAGAATTCCCAAGGTAATGTAGCGGCCTTAATAATTAGAACGGGGTTTTGGGGTTCCTTAGTGCCTTAGTATGATTATGATATAATATACCTCAAAACCTGATTCTAATTATTAAGGCATCTATATTAGGTGTGAGGTCACGGGGTTTGGGGGTTTAAAGGTTCGGAGCAATGTCGAAGCTTCGGGGTCTCGAAGTTCAGTTTTGGGTTCAGGAGCTCTTGAGGTTAAGGAGTTCAGGGTTTTCGAGACTACCCGAAATCATGACTCGCGGCTTCGAGCCCTCCTTTGCTGAAATTCCCGTCAGAATTTTGCCTCGAGTGAGTTTTTGGCAACATCTCCTTGCCACCAGTTTCGCTGACGTCGCCATGGATGCAACGGTGGATCTCCCGGCACCTTTTGGCGTCCTCACCGCTTCGGCGGAGTTGCGGGAGGCTATGTCTGCTCTGGACCTTGAGCTCGGATGCACAAAAGCTGGTTGCCCTCGGATTCACGAGGACGACTATTTCGGGTACTCCAGTGCGCCTCCCTACGACTCGCTCTTCACGTTGGTGCGGGATGGCACCGGTGGTGCTTATCACATCTGGCTCGGTGGTGGGCATGCTCCTGTCGTGTACATCGGCTCAGAGGGAGAAAGGGCCAAGATTGGCACGACGGCCAGCCAGTTCCTTCAGATAGTTCTGAGTTTGGCTCCGAACCATTCCGACATCATTGGCATGCTCCCGGGCCTCGGCACACTTCCCGATAACGGGGATATCGAAGCTGCCAAGGAGGCAGACTTTGACTTGAAGAATGCCATCAACAGAATGACGGAATGGAGCCGTGATGAAGATACAATCGCAGACAAGCAGAAAGCAGATGCCGTACTGGCAGCCGTTGGCCTTGCACGCCTAAGTGTAGAGGATGCCATTAGGCAACTCCTGTCTTCCCACTTGGCAGCTCCACGTTTCGCCGTTCAAAGTGAGGACTAGAGACCTGCAAGCTGGAAAAAGGAGTGGAAAACCTTTTGCCCGTGTTTAGGCAGGTTTCGGGTGGTGTAGTTTTGGTTGTTGTGGTCGTCGCCAGCCGCCATCGTCGTCTTCGTGGTAGCGGTCGTGGTGGTCGTGGTGCTCGTGGTCGTCGCCGCTATGGTTCTACTTCTGGTGCTGCTGATGCTGCCGGGCTTCTCCGTAACGCTGGTGTATTGATGTCTTTTAAACTATTGCTGTTTAGAGTTGCCCCTGTTATATTTGAGCGTTCTTGTTCTTGGCATTGAGACTGCAACTGTTTCCGTCCTGGTGCGCCCTTCTTCCGATGACGACGAAATACCTACTGAAAATGGCCCTGAGTTGTTCACTAACTTATTTACTGGTGTATCTTCACTTTCGATATGGCGCAGGGTTCCTGGCTGGTGACCGTGAGCCCGTCCACAAGGCCCTGAAGCCACCCTTCGTCCACACATCCAACTCGAGAGTTCAGGGTGTAGGGCTCACGCGTCAGGGATTTGTAAACCCTAAACCCTAAACCCTAAACCCTATAAACCCTATAAGCCCTAAAGCCCTAAACCCCTAAACCCCTAAACCCTAAACCCTAAACCCTAAAACCCTAAACCCCAGAGGGTTGAGACGAACGGCACGATTCCCCACTAGATCATCTGCAGGTCATCGTGGGCCCTCGGGAAGAGTTCGAGTATGTCCCCAGCGCTTTTGACGCCCGGTGCGAGTTGTCATAGGATTTAGGGTTAGGATTTTGTTTATTGGGTGTGGGATTGAGGTTTCGATTTGGGTTTCTTTTTGAGCTTTGCTCGACACAGCTCGAAGCCTTAAGCTTCGTTCGTGAACCCACGACAAACCCCAATGGTCCTCATACTGAAGCCAGATCCAACCCCAAACCCTATAAACCCTAGACCCCAAACCTAAAACCCCAAACTCTATAAGAGCCCCCTAGATGTCCTTCTTTCTACGTCCCCTGATCCCTAAACCCTAAACCCCAACCGGATTATTCGAGTAGGCAGGAAGATCGTCATTGCTTTAGATCTCCTGCCCCAGTGGGCCCTGAGAGTTTGGGGTTCCGGCTTTTGATTTAGGGCTGAGGGTTGATAAGGGTTTAGGGGTTTAAGGTTTAAGGTTTAGGGTTTAGGGTTTAGGGGTTTAGGGGTTTAGGGTTTAGGGCTGATAAGGGTGTGGGGTTTGTGGTTTGGAGTTTGTGGGCTGGGTCTATCGCGCGAATTGCTAAAAAACTTCTTGCAGGCTTCGAAGTGCATTTTGGCGCTTAGATTCAGCTAATTCGATACTTGTTCTATGGTTCAAGCGCCCCCGTTGCAGGGTATGTTCCGCCGGAATAGGTTTGTGAAGTCGCGCGGATCCCCCTTTTAGGATTCCGATGTGTGTTCCGCAGGATGTGAGACTTGTAATCCCTCAGCCCTAAACTTGCCCTAAACCCTGAACCCTAAACCTTTGAACCCTAAACCCTAAAACCGTACAGCCCGAAAGCCCCAAGCTCTCAAACTAAAGCTCCTCCACCCAACGGAACCCGAAAACCCCTAGAGCCCTCAAGCCACAACACCTCGAAAGCCCCCATGCCCTTAAATCCCTAAACCCAAAACCCTAAGAAACCCGAAGAAACCCTGAGAAACCCGAAAAAACCCTAAGGCCGGAGCTCTAAACTTGAAATCTCCACCTGAGGAGAAGGAGTGGACCGAGCAGACTCGCATGGGCCAAATCTGCAAGCTGGCCTTGCAGCAGAAGTCGCAGGCGACCTGGGGGGAAAGGACATCTGGGGCTAGGGCATCGGGGCCTGGCGCTTCCGGAAGGGGTGTTTAGGGTTTAGGGTGTAGGGTTTAGGGTTTTGGCTTTAGGGTTTAGGATCTAGGGTTTAAGGTTTAGGGTTTTGGCTTTCGGGTTT